GGTCAGTGAACCAAGTTTTTGTAAAAAGGAATTGTTATTTCCAAAGTAAACTGTAAGTTTGACAAATCCACAAAGGAAGTTTCAGCACAACCATCACTAAGAACATATATTATTTCTGATAGGAACTTTCAATGAAAGAAGTAGAACCAAAATTCAAGACCTTAAAACTAAAATTTAGAATCTGAGGGGCGTGTTAATCAAGTTAAACCCAAAAAGATGTTAAGAACCTCAAGTTACCATTATCCATTATTCAAGAGCCTAGTATAAAAATTAAGCGGGATATATTCCTCCTGCTATTGTAAATGGGGAGATTGATCGTAATATAAAAGGTATAAATCATTGGTGAACATGTATTTTTGAAGTTCAACAAAATTTAGGAGGTTTCTATAATTTAGGAACATATACGCCTAATAAAATCTAACAGATATGAAGACGAAAGCTAGAGTCTAGTACTCAAGTGTCTTTTATGATCAAGAAAAATCTAGCCTAGAAGACAACTTAACTGTAACCATACATAAAAAGGGTGTTTTCAATATGTTAAAACTCTCACCCTTTCATCTAAATTTTAAAAAGCACAATCAAAGTGCATCTTTAGAAAGTGTCAACTCAACTGCCCAGTTGGTTTTGGGCATGGACCTCTATGATGTCTTGATAGCCATAGAATCCTATACTTGAGCAGCAACACCTTATATAGTGATTCAAGTGCATTCAAAACAATGTCTTTTTCTATGTGAGTTGGAAATGTGTATCAGAAGTTTGGAGCTATGTGTTTGGGAATTCAAGATGCTATGTACAAGGACAGTATAGCTTATGTTGAAAATCAAGTGCAAAAAGGTTTTGCTCAGAAATGATGCAAGATTTGCATCCTGCGTCTCTTCTAGATCCTGTGGGAGTTGTATTTGCTGACATGTCTGTGAATCCATATGCTTACCTCGAGATTGAGAAAAAGAAGAAAAAGGAAAACATGAAAGAACATCATGGGAAATCCACAGAAGATATGAAATCTACAGACGATACTCAAGTCATCAAGGGGAGAAGCACACTGGGTGGGATACATAGACGCCGTAATGTTGGGATTATATAGAAAACTGAAGGCTATGATGATCTTAAGTCCCCAGTCTGTGAAATAGGAGAAACGTTAGAGGGAACGTGTGATCATAAGGTGGACTTACCAGTGACTTCTAAGCTTTGGGAGTGTAATAACGTGAAGCCCCCAGTCTTTGAAATAGGAGAAAAGATAGAGGAAATCTTTGATCATGAAGAGGATTCTAATATGCAAACAACAGGCATCTCTATAGGAAATGTGGCTTCTGAAGTGACATGATTGGTTGGATCACCGGTCTTTGAAAAAGGAGAAAGCTTAAAGGAATTTTTTGTACCCAAAGAGGAAGATAAAATGCAAACAACAGGAAGTGTTATTTATATTCTATTAGAAAGTACACTTTCATTTCTTTAACAAAATAGAAAATTGAAGAAAATACCTTTTTTTAGAAGACCATTGGGATGTTTCTCAATCTGCCCTTTCTTCAATTTAATCATTGCTCAATAATATGTGTGTTGCAGGAGGCCATATATGTTCCTCCTTCGTCATCACCTCTGCTCGCTAATGTGTGTTGCTCAAAACATCAGATAGATTAAAAAGTCAGGAGCGTGCTCTCTGTATGTCACCTCCACAATCTGCTTGAGTGGTAAGATGTGAATGAAATTGGTGTGTGAAATAGTGGGAGATTAAGGTAATTTAAATATGTTGATGTGTGAATTGATGTGTGAAATAAACTGTGAAATCATTCTCACCTGAAAAATCATCTTTATGTATTCATTTGAAAATTCATAACACTACTAAACTAACAATTTAAGTAAAAAAAACACCGAGTTAATGACAATCCCACTTGATCACGAGAAGAGTTTGACTGAAAATTATTTGATGAAAATGAGTTTCGTTGAGCCCAAACCGTGTCTTCTTCGTGCTGCTTCTTTCTTTAAAAATACAAAATTGGAGACTAAGGATGATCCAAACCGTGATAATTGAAAAGGCTGAAGCAAAAATATGCATTTTCAGAATAATATCGTCTCCCACTCAGGCGACCTTGACCAAAGCCCAAATTAGTGGTTTTTTGCTCAGTTAGTACATATAAACTCAAAGTCGTTTTTAATCAAATAACACATGAACTAAAATGTCAATAAATCCTAATAAAAATTAACATAACTTCTTAAAATTGGAAGAGAGTGTAGAAACACATAAAATTGAAAAATTATACTGAGTAAAAGTTTTTTCACCTGTCATTCTTCTTGGGGCTTCTTCCCTCTGTCTTCTTTCTTCTTTTTTATTTGAATATTGACCAAGTATTTTTCTGACTGCTTCAACCAAATTCATCACGATGACAAAAATGGCTCCCTTAGTCGCAATTCTCAATACATGAGAGACAAATGGTTAAACAAACCGCCAAAGGGGCCACATTAGATTCTGGAGCAGCCTTCCAATTTCGCACTCTACGCCTAGGAACAATTTCTTTTTCCTTCAGTTACGGTTCCACCACTATATGTTTCTTTTGTTCTCTACGCCTAGGAACAGCCTTCCAATTTCGCACTTTACGCCTTGGAACAATTTCTTTTTCCTTCAGTTGCGGTTCCACCACTATATCTTTCTTTTGTTCTCTAGCAGCCAAAGCAATGCACATAAGATTAATAGACAACACATTTAGGCAGGAATTATTGTTTGAAAAAAAATATACTCTGTACTTCAAATGCCAACATAGAAAGCAAAGTTAAACGGAAATAGATAAAAAAAATACATACTCACTTCAAGATGGAGATGACGGCAAACCATTAGGGAACACAATCTGAATCATTTAAAGTGAATTTAAATTAATATTAAATAATAAACTTAATTTACCTACGCACATCAAATAAAATAGGAATAATACCTCAAACCATTGATAATTTTGAAACATTGAATTCAACAAATCTAAAATACAATTACAAAAAAATCAAACTTTGTTTCATATCAACCTGATAATTCTATTCTAATATGTACAAACTAACCTTCTTGAAATAAAAGAACATAAAACACTCTAGTAATTCTTGAATTGCAATTCCAAGCAAACACAAATCACGCTTTCAAACATACTTGAAAGTGGTAACAAACAATGAGAGACTGGTAACAAATAGACTAATTAAGACTGATACGGAGTAATTCATAAAATTCTCATAAAAAAACCAAAATCTTAGTAATAATTGATGTAATCAATTGATTGAAGATAAATTATAGCAAAAAAAGTTAGAAATATTTAAAGACTGATAAAATTTTAACCTGAATTAGCTTGATTGGCAGGGTCACTTAGTGTGTATTAGAAACCCTCTGAGACATTTCACCGAATAGGTGGTGACTACTCTTGGCCCGTGCAAATCTTCAAACTGAAAAAAGACATGACATTCCTAGTACCTTGAGGAACACACTGCAAATTGCTTGGACTTACATGCGAAGAACTTCAATTCTGTAATTTTGGGGTAAAAATATTTCTCCCAACTCTGGAAATTAAACGATGAAATGAAAAAGATCAAAAGAACCAATTGACGACAAAAGCTTTCTCTCTCTAACGCGATGGCGAAGAAGAAGGGAAGGCCAAAGGCAACGATTGAATCTGGAAAAGCTCTTGGAGGAAATCAGAAATCACCAAACAACACCAATGTTCCGGAATTGAAGAAGGATTCTACAGATTCTCCGGAAAACAGCTCTTCGAACGGCATAGATGGGAACCCTAATTCAGAGGAGAAGGGAAACCAGGAGAGGGAGAAGCAACCATTAGACAATTCGCCGAAATCATATGCGAAAGCGGTGGGGAAACCAGAGCCGATTGAATTGGATCTGAAATTTATGCAATTTGAAGAAGTTAATGGTACCCAGGTGGCGAAATTCACAAAGGAAGACATTGTGGAAGAATCGAGGTATTGGGACTCTGGTATGATACTCTGTGTATTGGGTGCAAATCCCCCATTAGATGTTATTAAAGGTTATATAGCACGAATGTGGAAAATATACCCTATTGATGAAGTTTATGCACTAAAAGAAGGGCAGTTCATTGTGCAGTTCCAAAAAGAGGAGAATAGAGATGAGGTGATTAAGAGGAAATATTACTATTTTGATAACAAACCTGTCTTAGTGCAAAAATGGAAACCGGGAAAGAAAGTAGATATCACAGAGCTAAAGGACATACCTATATGGATACAATTCCCAGATCTGGATATCAAATATTGGAGCCTGACAGGGTTAAGCAAGCTGGGCAGCCTTATTGGAAAGCCTATAAAGAGGGATAAGGCCACTGCTACAAGGATGAAGTTTGCATACGCAAGAATTCAAGTGGAAGTAGGGGTGTATCAAGATTTCCCTAAGACAGTCACCTACATAAATGAAGAAGAAAGGGTAATAACACAGCAAGTCACCTACGAATGGTGCCCTTGTATGTGTTACCACTGTAAGAAGATTGGACATGAGCAGGGGAACTGTAGGTTGAAAAATACCAAACAAACAAAACAAGATCCAAGGAGAAGGATATGGAGGGTCAAGAAGGATGAAAATAATCAAAAACAGAATGAGGTTATGGAGGAGAATATGGATGGAAATAAAGAAGATGATAAGAATCTGGAGAAAGAAGCAGAAGCCACACCAGACCAAGAGGGCTTCTCCTGCCCCACGATAGTACGGCCAATGAGACGGGATCTGGGCAGCGGAGGAATGTCGCCGCCGCCGCCGCCGCCGCCGCCGTCGAGCCATGATTGCCTATCTTTTCTGATGGAATCTGCGAGCGCCTTCGCCTGAGATGTGATGGGGTCGATCGATTCTGTTATTTCCAGAAACGAGAAGGGCGCAGATTCGGCGGAGAGGAAGGATTCGACCACGTCTTGAACTTGGTAGATTGCGTCGCGGATTAGGGTTTCGAGGATGCCTGCGGTTTCTCTGGCGTGTTTGGGCGGTGGGAAGATTGTCCCAATGGAGCTTCGCAGAGAGGAGAGATGGTGTGGAGGAAGGATACAAGCTGCTGCGGCTTTTGTTCGTGAAGAGGGAATCGATCATGGGAGTCCAAGAGCAGCTGTTCTAAGAAGACTACGGCTGAATAAGCGGCCATCTTTTAACTAATTAATTTGAGCAGAAGGCCCTTCCATTTTGAACCAATCAGAGCTAGCTACTTCTTACTCGTCTTACTTCCATGGCCAAAGGCTTGTTCTCTTCCATGATCTCTTCTATGGAGTATCATATTGTAATTATATTTAAAAAAAATTTTATGATCTAATATGATTCGAATAAAAATTGAATAAATAAATATTTCCTCCATCCAAAAATAAATTTTTTATTTTAAACAACGTGCAAAATTCCATCTTCTTTAAAATAATTTTATTTACATATTGGTATATCATAAAAAAGTAGAAATTACATTGCTTATAACAATATCAAAAGTTATACAAAACAAGATGTGCTAAGAATACTTTATTTTATTAAAATAATTAAATGAATAATGAAAATATGTGAACAAACATAAGTTACCGAGTAGCCGTAATAGTAATTAAAAAGTTTATTGTTGGATACAGGGAGTAAATAAAGAGAAAGGGAAGTAAATCACGTGTTAAAATAAATAAATACTCCGTATAATAACTAGATCACTAGATGGATAGTGTCACAGGGAGAATACTAATAAGTTTTTATTGAATAAAATCATGTAAATATAGTAGAATCAAAAAGCATATAAGAACACATCACCACAACTTATGATATATCCTAAAAGATAAAATAGAATTTTGAATGTTTAGTGAGAAAAATAGATATGAATTTTTATATTGTTGGGACTGTTTTCCAAATTTATCCCACCCAATAGACTCTTTTTATTTTTACTCCAAGTGTTGTCTTAGATTTTGGAGGGTCATAGTGCAAGCATTTTAATTAAGAATTAAGCTAGGGGTACACCAACATGGGGTACCCCAAGTGTACACCAAGCCAACACAGACACACACAGACACATTTGTGTCTGTGCAACACAGACACTTTTTGTCTGTGTGTGCCTGTGTTGGCTTGGTGTACACTTGGAGTACCCCATGTTGGTGTACCCCTAGCATTGCCCTTTAATTAATGCATGGTCATCTCTTGCACTTGTACTGTGGGACTCCCACAGTGTTGGCGGCTTGGCACTTAATTTCTTGCATCCTATTTATGCTTCTCTTCTTTAGATAGGTACAGGTGCACAAGAAGAGCAAGGGAAATTAAGTCTTCGTTTGCATGAGGAGCTAGAGAAAATAAAAGGAGAGAAAATAAAGAGAAGCGGAAATGAAGAAAAAAGTAAAAGAAAATATTTGTTGTTTGGATGAGTAGAAATGTGAGGAAAAGTGGAAGAAAAGAAAATACAATAAAATGAAAAAAGACAATTTTGCCCCTGCATTGTTCGGCAATGGAGAATGGACCGTCAAGTCCAAGTAACATCACTGCACTACCCCTAATCTAAAATTAAAAAAATATTATTAAAAAGCGTGTAGATTATGCAAAAAAAATTACATTATATGGAGGAAATGGAAGAATTACATTAGATGGAAAAAATTAGCATATGCAGAAACACATAGGTGAAGAGATTTTTCGATTTGGGCAAAAGCAAAAAAAGAATTGCAATCTTTCCCTGCGTTTGGCGAGCTTTTGCCTGGTGAAAAACGACCGAGAAGATGAAGTGGGAAGTTGAGGATAAGCTTTGGACGGTGAAGAATGGAGATGGAATAGGGCTAAAAGGGCAAATGTGTAATTTACTTAATTTTCTCTCCAAGGGTGGAGTTTTCTCGCCTAGGGGGGAGAAAACTTTTCATCTTCCCCCTCACTCCTTTTCTTTCCTCCCTCAATTTTCTATTGCAACCAAACAAGAGAAAATGCATAGTAAATTGTGTTTTCTCTTTATCTTTTTTCTTTCCTTCTAATTTCTCTCCATCCAAACGGCCTGTAAAAGTAGTCTAGCCGTGTGACTTTTCTTCCCTTTTAGGGGTTGTACAATTTGTTTATTCATACAATATTTTATGGGTTTATCTAAAAAGTCCTAGTGGGTATTGGTGGTGTTTTACCAACTCTACTAGGGGACTTAGAGGGTTTATCTTTGTACCTAAATATTGTATGTGGGTTTAGGATTGTGTTGTAATCCTAGACGGTTAAGTTCTACTTGCACTATTTTTATAATGTTGCTTTACCTCCGTGAAGATGGTTTTCCAATTATAGTCTTTGATCTCATCTCTATTTTTGGCTCGTGGTTTCTCTTTTTTCTTGGACAACTAGCATGGGAGGCCCAGAGGGTGTGCAAAATGGCCAACCGCATAGGGCACCTTAAAATTTAGGGCACCGTATTTTTAAATTTGTTAATAATTTTAAAGCAAAAGTATTCTAAACATATAAAATAGGGCACAAAATGTAAATTTTGGACCGGGCCAATTTTATTTTTTCATTTTTCGGGGCCGGCCCTGACAACTAGTTTGTTGCTTCGGTTGCATGAGAATTTCGGTGCTAAATTTTCCAACAAGTGGTATCAGAACCTTCGGGTTCAGTTTTGGTGGTTCTAGTAGTCATTGATGATGTCTAGTTTGGCTTCGGGGTCTCAATTTGTCGTGCCAAAGTTCAATAGAAAGAGTAGCTTCACCTTTTGGTGAAGAGGGATGAAGGATCTCCTTGTGCACTTAGACTACTTGTCTAGAGCCCTGAACGAAGATGAGGGCAAGATGAAATCTATGAGTGCATGTATTGTTATTGTTATTTGAAGTGTTGTCTTGGATTTTAGAGGGTCATGGTGCATGTATTTTAATTAATGCATGGTCATTTGTTGCACTTGACACTTGTAATTTTTTCAGGTTGTTCATTTCCCCCACGGCGTTGCTGGCCTTGCATTTATTTGATTTCGGGCTTGATATGTATGTGTCTCTTCATTGCATAGGTGTTGGATGTGTCTCTTCATCGCTCTTGTTTATTTATACAAGAGCGATGCTAAATTCACAAATAGAATGGTCACAAACTCTACATAATTACTATTTATGGTTTAAATTCTCATTTTAAAATTATTTTAGACTACTTAATTTTTTTAAATTAAAGTACAAATAGCAAATTTGTGAAGTTTGTGACAATTATGTTTGTGAACCAAACATTTTCCTTCATACAATATTTTAGCTTTTACTCTAAAGAGTCATAGTGGGTTATTGGTGGTGTTTTACCAATTGTACTTGGGGATTTAGAAGGTTTCTCTTTATACCTAAATATTATATTTGGTCTAGGACAAGTGTTGCAATCCTAGATGGTTAACTTAACTTGTACTTGCACTATTTTTAGAGTAGTGGTTTTACCTCCGTAAAGAGTGTTTTTACGGCTACAACCTTTGGTCTCATCTCTGTTTTTTGCTTACAATTTCTCTTTGTTCTTGGATTACTAGTTTGTTGCTTAATTTCTTATACAAATAATATATCAGATAAGGAAGATTTTCAAGCTCAAGACGGTGAGGTGAATAGAGAGAAAAGAATCGCACAGGACATGCACCGTGGAAGGGGAGGTGAATACGAGCTCGTGCGAAGCACGAGGTTAACACTAGTGGACGATAAAGTTCACCGAATTGTATATTGCTACGAGAAAATCTCTATATGTATACTATCTCCCTCTTAAAATCATCATCCTGACTCATGATTATCATTCTTCTGATAATTTTGGTTTATGTAAGCATTTTCATTGATCATTTGATAAAATAAAATATTAGTGTCACTATTTATCTTGTAAACCTTTGATGTAGTTTTTAAAAGAAAAAATTATGTAAAATAATATTAATTTTGAGCGGTTTTCTAAAAAATAATTACACCTTTCATTTTTATGTGTAATAAGCCAACCTTTGATAGGGTGTGCGAGTTTTGAGTCATCGTTAGGATTTTAACGGCTGCCTAACAATTCTAAACAGTAAATGGCTATTTTACATAACTAAATGAAAGGTAAGATTATTTCAGATAAACTCTCTTTTACTTTTTTTTTATCAAAATTTTGAAAAAGGTTTATAAAAGTAGAACATTACAAAATTTTTCCCTTGGCTCAAATTATTGGAAGAAGATCCCTTAAAATTCATGGTAAAGTTTACCTAGATCAAATTTTAGCGTCATTAAGTCAAAAAAGTATGAACATACACTACTTTGTAATAAAATAGAAACACTCAAAAAAATAAAAAATTGTATTGCTGGTTATAAGGAAATCAAAATTGTGACAATTTTAAAAATTTTGACAAAGTAAAAAAATTGATAACTTTAAAAATTTTGACAAATGTACCACATTGGAAAATTTTCTCACAATTGTAGTGTGTTTGGTTGGAGGGAAATATTTTCCAGGAAAATTATGATTCTATTTTCATGTGTTTGGTGCACTAGTAGAAGAAAAATAGTTGTCAGGGAAAATATTTTCCTTCAATGGGATTAAAAAATTTATATTTAAAATTATAGGAAAATTTTCATTCTCTTTCAGCTTCATTCCCACCCCTAAACCTCCGTCAAACTCTTATCCCTTTTTTTACTTTCCAATTTTAAATTTTAAATTTAAAATTAACACTTACTCGTAAAATTTAGAAACGTGTAGCGGGAGGGAAGCCAACTTCATTTCCAACAGTGGATTGTTTAGTGTGCCCATAATTTCAATAGGGATATTTTAGACATTTAACCCCATTTTTTCCTCGCCTTGGTATTTTGTCCAAAAAGAAAGTGGACAAAGAGAGTGGGACAAAGGGAGTATATTTTAATTAAGGATAAAGCTATTTGTAACCCAAAGTCCCAAACTATTTGTACCTCATTCGTGCACCGCAGGTGTACACCAACATTTTGTGTTGGTATAATGCTAATTTTTGTTAACGCATCAACACTTTGTGTCAGTGTAAATTTTTGTTAACGTACCAAGACTTTATGTCAATGTAAACCATCGAGATGTTAGCGTAAATCTTTGGTGTAAGTTTGGAGTACAAATTTTGCTGTAAGTATAGCATGGTATTTTAATTTTATAAAACTTGTAAGGATGCTAGACGCACACCACTTTCATGCTATATATTTTAGTGTAATAGGAAAAATTATTTGACCAGTGTTAGCATAATAATTATCAAAGAAGTTTGGTGGTGCAGAGTGCACGCTTTGTTGAGTTTGTTATGATAAAAACTCTCATCTTAACGGGGGTTCTAAGGGGACAGCTCCCCCCCCTCCCCCGAGGCCCGAGCAGGGTTCAAGGGACGGCAGCCCCTGCCGGGTCCAAGGGGCAGAGCTTTTTATTTTAGACAAAGTGTTGTGTTAAAGTTCACTTGAATTTTAATTTTCAGAATTTATGTATATTAAATTTTCCCGAAAAATCACCTCTTCTGTCTTGTTTAGCGCGACTAAACGCGATTGGTTTCGTGTGGATAAACGCAAAGTTTGAGATAAAAATGCATTTGCATGTTACTCCTTCCCCGCTTCTATAAATCCCGGCGAAGCTTTGGTCGAAAGAGATATAGTTCAAAAAATTCATATCAGCTCATACCAGTTCTTGTCAGAAATTTAAGTTTTATCCGATTAATTTTTAGATTGGACACCCAAAGTAATCAATCTGAAAGTGCTACACGACTCTCAGTTTGATCCACGTTATCTTCAAACATTTGATATACACCATTTGTACACCAATATCTTACAATACCTACGCGGACAATGAAATTATACGTGCACACATAAACAATAACACACTGTTCGAACTTTACAACAATGCCAGCTTACAGAATGTTTCGTATCACATGAATAAAGACCTATGATTTTCCTAAGAGTTTCGGGATACTAATCCTGAACTTGAACAGAGAATCAAGATACGAACGAAACCTATCCAACTCTGACCGTGAAGCTGTCGATCCATAGAATTTCACATTGACTGCTTTCTCGACTTCTCCTCGAATAAATTTCACCTCCCGGGAAGTGTCAAATGCAGCAGACTCTGGGCTATCAAGCAGTGGCAATGCTACTGAACCCTTGGTCTCCACGCTTCTGATCCATCCCCGTAAAAGAAAATTCACAACCTAAAGCACAAATTTAGATGCTTATGCTTTCTTTCATAATTAAGGTGATGAAGAAAAGGTTAAGGCATAATAATAATAATGATACCTCAGGGACTTCATCATGTGGGCAGTGACCAGCAGGGCTAATCTCATAATATGGAGCTTCGGTCATCCGCCTCTTCACCCGTAGACCCCAGAATGGGGTCACCCACGGGTCTTCCTTCCCATAAACAAGACATATGGGTATATTGTTTTCCTGACACCTATAAATGTCATGCGTTCAGACATTTTTAGAAGGAATCGTATGAAGGACAAAGCAATTTTTGCACTACCTACCTAGAGAGAGCCTCGCTGAATGATATTTGACTACGGGGAGCGAACATCATAGAGGCTAAGGATGCAGCAGCCGCAGGATGTTTTGTTGTCTCAATTATATGAGAAAACACTTCATCCACATTTGTAGAGTGGTCTGCGTAAACCTGCTTAAGAACCTCAGCTATACTTTCAGGATCACTGATTTTCTGCCATCTAAAAGAATTAATAGAAAAGTTGTCGAATTCAATACCAGATTCAATAGAACAGAAATTTCTCAGAGTGTATAAAAAAGGGCAGCATTTTCATTCCCCTGTGGAGCCAAAGATTCACTTTTTTTTTTGCTTTGGGGTATGATAGAATAAAGCAAATTGGCTCTTTAAACCGTCAGTGCTTCTTGCAATTGTGAAATACGGAGTAGTAGTTAATCAATGCAACTTTCGACGCTCATCATGGGTCATCTGGAAACAGCTGCTATATGTTTTAAACACAGGGTCAGACTGCGTACTTCCTACCCCCCCCCCCTACCCCGCAATGGGCAGGAGCCGTTGAGGCTCTGGGGTAATGTTGGTTTTTTTGTATAAAAAGGGCATCAGGTGCATAAAAGTTATGGGGTGTCATTTTGATTATATAATAGATATATCAAGGAACAATTAGGGGCTGTTTGGCAACTTCTGAATGGGTAAGTGCTGAACCAGTAAGAGAGGTCTCTGAACCATTAAGTGTTGAACCAGTAAGAGGTCTGAACCATTAAGAGCTAGTATATTGCTTAACTATTCAGAGGCAAATGTCTGATCAATTCAGATAAGAGGTCTTAACCATTCAGAGGCAAATCTCTTAACCATTCAGACATCTGAACCATTAAGAGGCTGAAACAAACAGTCTGAACCATTAAGTGCTGAACCATTCAGAACCATTAAGAGGCTGAAACAAACAGCCCCTAAGTTTGGAGGAGAGAAAGCATGAAAACAAGGAAACCAAATGGAAATTAATGAATTAAGTTCAATACTTACAAAACCTTCATGACATTCCTAATAGAATTTGGAAGAGGAAATTTCCCAGCCCACGGAAATATTCTTGATAGTTTTGGCGATTTAATAGGATTAGGAAGAAAACTCCAAACAGGTGTTGCATTTAGCAATGTAACACCTTTCACCAATTGAGGGTTGCATGCTGCAAAGTACAGCGCAACAAACCCACCTAGTGAATTTCCCACAACATAAACTGGTTCTTTAATAACCTGCACCAAAATATGACAGTTAGATCAGCCAAATAACATCAATGTCTTTGTGTATTGATAAAAACAAAAAACTCTGCAATACAGTTGAGATATGAAAAAAATAAGGCATAGATGAAACTATAAAGAACCATGTTATTAGAGAAAGTTAGAAATCCATGCATTCAGTATATGTTTATGTTTATGTTTTTATTGTCTAAGCATTAAGCAACAACCCAAAATCCTCTTTTCTCATCCTAGGCATGTCCTCCGATGTGTCTGTTCCTATTTTATGCCTATTTTATGCCTGTACCTTTCAACAAGCATACAACACACCCTTGGGTGTGTCTCTACTTCATACACATTGAATCTGTGAGCCTTGTGATCATAAGTGCTGTAACAAAAAAGATGGCAAGTACCTCCTCAATGAAGTAACGAACTTGGTCTCTCCAAAGGTCCACAGAATAAACCAGCTGCTTTGCCCAAGGTTGAGCTTCATTTCCAAATCCCCACATGAGATCTTCTCCAACAGAGTTTGAGTGATCAGCAACACCTTCGACCTGCAAAGTCAGGTTATTTCTTGGCAATGACTTACCCTGCCCTAAAAAGTCCAAGGCCCACACTCTTAAATGGCAACCAAGATCCTTCAGTTGTTTTCTATAATGAAACGAACCAACACCAAAACCGGGAAGAAAAAGCACGTGTGGGGAATTCACATTTTCAGACCCAGATTTCTCGTAATGAACAATCAGTTCCGGCTTCCATTCCCAGAAAGAACTGCTAATTGAAGCAACACGGTCACCCTTCGCCTCATCCGGCACACCAGGAATGAACACCCTTCGAACTGCTTCTCCGGCATCATCAATTACATAGGAATCACAGTCCCCACTCCAACATGAACTTGAATCTTTAATGGCACTGACAGTCGGGCAATATCGGCACGCCAGACGTTTCTTTGATCTTGAGAGATCTGGACATTTTCTCCTCAAACAGACAGGTCTTATTACAGAGTAACACAAACCCTTCCCAGCTAGTGTGGGAATCCTTAATTGAGTAGAACTCGGATGTATATCGATCATTTCACTTCTAACGTTCAAAGCATAAGAGCAAGGCGCATAATTAGGGTTTCCATGTAACAATTAGGGTTTCAATCCCAACATAAACCGACACTTGCAAGCAATAGAATCTCAAGGAAATGAAGAACGCGGGAAAGTAAAATCATATCGATTCCAATTCCTAACTAACAAATCGTTTACTCATTGAAAGAAAACACAAAATTAATGCTACCTTTAAGGGTTTAATCAGCAGAGCTGGGCTTCATCATCTAACACCTGCAAAATTCACTGAGAAAGAGGGAAATAAATTTCTCGTCTTTAAGAAAAAAAAATCTTCTTCAGCTAGGGTATACGATTAGATTCCATAAGATTCCGGAGGAAGAAATGGAATTGAGCCTGTAAAAGATCAACAAGTTGCGGCGAGGTTTGAATTTGTTCTTGCTTATGTCAAATTTTCGGGAATTCCGGGGCCATGTGGCAAGAAAAGAGGAGTACACGCAACTTACACCTGTCGTTTATAAACCAGGTTCGCACCCCAAGCTATTCTACAAAAAATTATTACCTATTTTGTCATAAGATCTTTCAGGTGTCATTATTTTTTAATAAACTAATAAACTAATTAGTATGTCCCCCGCTCACTCTATCACCACAAAAATTTTCAAAAAAAATAAACTAATAAAAATCAAATAAAAATGAATGGACAAAAAGCATGTAGTGTACATTTGGGGTACACCTTTGGTGTACTCCTAGCATCTCCCTTTTTTTAAATATACTTTAGGTGTCCGGGGTACCTTAAATTATCCGAAAAATTACATGGAGTGACAATTCGTCCATGCCTCCGTTAGTTTCTCTATCCCTTATCTTTTTCTTCTTCTTTCTTGTTTTTTTCTTCCTCTATTTTTTATTTTCTTATTATTATTATTATTATTATATTATTATTATTATTATTATCATTATCATCATCATCATCATTATTATTGCTATTGGTTATTACTACGTATTATTTTATTATTAGTTATTGTATTATTTTATTATATTTTATAATAATTATGCTTATTTTTTATCATTTTACTAAGTTATTAGTTTTACTGCTGTAACTTTTTTAGCTAAATAAACTTAAAGCCTCATTAAAAACAATTGTATGCCCACATTAACCTTTCCCAATTTCCAATTTTCACTTGCATAAAAAAGCTTGAAATATTTTAAATCTTTAATTAAAAATTACTTTTAGTAATACATTTATGTATAGTTTATAAAAAAGATTATTTATTCCATTGGTTATAAATTATACGTCTTAAATCATTATATTAATATGAAATTTAACATCATTTTTATTGTTTTACATTATCTATAAAAAAATCAGAGGCATTTACTCATCTTATTAATCCCAAAGTCCTCTCATTATTTAGATTACCCACTATCAATGACGGCTGCCGCTGACCACTGTCAAGGAACCAATTCAACCAAAAGCTCAAGCTTGTAGGTGTGGCCCAAGAACATTTATTTATATTCTAACACGCCCCTCACGTGCAGGCGTAGTCTTTTTTGAGCCTTGCACGTGAAACCTTAATTTTTTTAAACTGGGTGGCACTGAGTTTCGAACCCGTGACCTCTTAGTCAACGAGGCTCTGATACCATGTCAAGGAACCAACTCAACCAAAAGCTCAAGTTTGTGGTTGTGGCCGAGGAATGATTGTTATATACTCTAACACGCCCCCTCACGTGCAGGCGTGACCTCTTTGAGCCTTGCACGTGAAACCTTAATTTTTTTTAAACTGGGTGGCGGTGAGTTTCGAACTCGTGACCTCTTGGTCATCAAGACTTTGATACCATGTCAAGAAACCAACTCAACCAAAAGCTCAAGTTTGTGGTTGTAGCCCAGGAATGATTGTTATATACTATAACAACCACTACATGCCGCGAAAAACATGGAATGACAAAAAATTATAGTAAAAGTATTAGTAATTGTTTTTAATTATAATAGTAATAAGTTTTATTTTAAATAATAATTAATGTTATTTTACTTAAAAAATCGTGTAATAAAGCTACTAATTAACTTTTAATAATAATAATAATAAATTAAAAAATAGAAGAAAAATAAAATAATAAGAAATAAATAATAATTAATACAAAGTAATACTAATAAGTATTGTTATTTTTTATAAAAGAGTAAAGTAGTAAAGTTACTAATTAATTGCTTTTAATAAATAATAGTATTAATAAAAAGTGTTTTTTATAATAAGTACTATTTTTCTAAATAAAAATTAATGGTAATAATAATACTAATAATAATAATAATAATAATAATAATAATAATAATAATAATAATAATAATAATAATAATAATAATAATAAAAGAAGAAGAAAAGAAAAAATATAGGAAGAAAAGGGGGGTGGGATTCGGGTGGGGGAGGCTGGTTTCTAAGACCATCTCCAATGGGATGCCCAAAAGAGATGCTAGGAGGGGAGAGTGTGAGATGTTGATAGATGCTATTGTTGTAAGTAGGTGCTCATTATAGATGCCCAAGGAAGAAAAAGAGAGGGGGATGCTTCACATAGCACTGATGCTTGAGGGGGAAGGATTTCATGCATTCATTTCTTTAGTTTTGTGGTCCAATGATTATGTGCCATGTGTCATATATATATTCAATTCTTTTTATGGCAATTTTCTTAATTAAATAGCTCTCTTTTTAAATACTTTTCCAACGAATTTTTTTTGTAATTCCAATAAATATTTTAAGTAAATGTTTTTTTACAAATAGCTGCAAATTAGGATTTTTTTTCTTAAAAAATGGATTTACACCGAAATAGGTTGTTTTTAGATTTTTTTTGATATTGATGGAGAACAAGCTAGTTTTAAAATATAAAGAGTAGTTTTTTCAATATAATATTTTCAAGTTTTGTATAATTAATACTCCGTAATTTATTATACAACTAAATACTTATAATTAACAAAAAATAAAATATAAATATATTTTAGTTGACCTACTATATTAATTGAATAGATGTTTAGGCATCCAAATGAGATGCTACCATTGAAAGAATAAGATGTTGAGAGAGGTGCTAAAATAACATCTTTATAGTGGAGCCCACACTTGAGCATCTAATGAGAGATGTTGCCATTGTGGATGCTCTAATGAGAATTGGAAAGAGAGAAAAAAAAGAAAGAAAGAAAAAGAAAGAAACACGAAAGAAGAAGAAAAAGATACTCCCTCAGTCCCAGAGAATTGTAATTTGTATATTAAAAAATTATAGAAATTATATATTAATAATCTATATGTTAAGACAAATCAAACAAGATCACACATGACTATATTTAGGCTTATACATTGAGAGAATTTGATGAGTCAAAGTTCTTAGATGAACAGTTCCAAAAGTCAAAAGTGGACAAATATAACGGGACGGAGGTAGTAACAGGTTGTCACCCCCTAGTAACAAGGGCATGGACGGATTGTCACCCCTAGTAATTTTTCGCATAATTTAAGGTACCCCGGAGTATACTTAGAAAAATAATGGGACCTGACATTTCTTATCACAAAATTGAAGGTACCCGGTAGCAATTTTTTGGCTATTCTATACCTCCCTAATATGTTTTTGTGTAATATAAAAGGTAAATCTATCTAGTTTTTATCTTGATTTTGTTTTTGTGGTTCTAAAATTCAGATATAAATTTATAATTTAAGAGCTAAAAGATTTTCTTTTTATTGGTGGGGTTCTAGTGACACCAGAAAATGGTGCCACTAGCGGTGCCACTGCGTTTTTGGGGCACCTCCGGGGTTCGTAAAATTGACGGTTCCTACCCCCTAACCCACCCCCTAAACCCCCCACCCTACCCCCACCCTTGCACGCCCACCACAACCCCGCCGTAAGCCCCCCACAAAATATGTGGCTATTATGCAATGCACATATTTTGTGGGGGGCTTATGGCGGGGTTGGGGTGGGCGTGCAAGGGTGGGGGTAGGGTGAGGGGTTTAGGCGGTGGGTTAGGGGGGTAGGAACCGTCAATTTTACAAACAGAGCACCGGAGGTCCGGAGGTGCCTCAAAAATGCAGTGGCACCAAAGTGGCATCTTTCTTCGGTGTCACTAGAACCGGACCGTTTTTTTTATTTTCTGCAAAAAGTCTAATATTTTTATAGTGTCAATGTAATAAGGTTCATCCATAAAATATGTGAACTTAAAAAATCACAAAAAAAATCTGTCATTTATCTCATACTAGATCTCTAACATGTGCATTGCACGTTCAGTCATTTGAGATGGTGAAAAGTAATAATATATTAAATTTGTAGTGTATATAAAAACAACGAAACATATTGTATTCAATATAAAAACTAAAAGCATTACATACTAATAGTTAGTTAGGGACACTTTAAATAACTCTTCTTTCAAATATATTTGGTTTTCAATGGATGCCCTCATTAAAATGTCATAGGATGTACCCTTTCTTTTATTAACGGCTTGTTCATTTAATGCTTCGTATATTTGTGCATCATTAAAAGCCATCATTAAATGCTATAGGATGTACACTTTCTTTTTTGATGGCTTGTTCATTTAGTACTTTGTATATCAATGCTCCATTAATGTGGGTTTGGATGTGTGCATCAAAGCAAATAATCAATTGCTTATACTTTAAGTCATATTAGAAAGAGTTTGTTCATTTAAATTTGCGTGTATTAATGCTCTTTGATATTTCCAACAAATTTGAAAATTGTTTACATCATTAATGTGGGTTTGGGTGTGTGGCTCAAAGAAAATAATCAATTGCTTATACTTTAAGTCATATCCGAAAGGCCTTGTTCATTTAATACTGTGTATATCAATGCTTCTTGATATGTCCATTAATGTGGGTTTGGGTGTGTGGCTCAAAGCAAATAATAAATTAATATGCTCTAGGTATCAATACATTTTCTTTATACTCAAATCAAAATAGAAGGATACTTCTCTTCTTTTTTAGTTAACTTCATACGTCTTCCAATGTATTTCATCTATTGCATACATTAAATGTTTATTGTGTTAACCAATACTTATTTGATAGGAAGGATTCGAGGCTCTATGTAAGAGAACTCGTAATTTACAGCTATATTGCTTTATTCCATATTTAAAGCTAAGGCTCTAGGTAATATTGAACGAATACAAATTTAATGTTTTTGTTTTAATAAAAGTATTATTACCTTTCTTTTAAAGAATTTGTTTAGTAAAATCAAAATAGAAGCATCTTTCTCTTCTTTTAAATCAAGATATTAAAGTCATAGAGAGCCGCAAAAAATAACTTGAATAATCAAGATTTAAACGAATTTTACATACCTCATCGTCATGAAAGACAACCTCCATTAATTCAACATTTCTTGCAAAAGGGTGAATGTGGCAGACACGAATAGCTCGTACGTGGATAACAATGTTGTTGTGGTCCTTTTCGAGCTCACCAAGATTGGTAAAGAGACTAGGGAAAACATGTTTGTGAGCCATATTGGAAAGATGAAATTTTCAAAAGCTTTAATGGTGGGGAAATGAATTGAAGGTATTGGGAAAGGGTTGTTTATAAATATTAAACTGGCATTTTAACCCGTGCGACACACGAGGTTAAATAAAATTTTAATCTATTATGTAAATTTCTAAGTCTTTGTTCTAATTGTTTACAATTCTTAGAGTCTATTTGGTTGGGAGAAAAATATTTTTTTAAAAGATTCTAATTATAATATCTTACATTTGATTATATAAGTAGTAAGAAATTATTTTTGAAAAAAATTATGTTTTCCCTTGTAAAGGATGAACCACATCCCCAAGGGTTTATCAACACTGGCCGAACAGTTAGTAAAGAGGAGAGAAATATATTTCTCTTAGAGAGAGAAAAATGACTTTTCTTTGCTTTGACGAAAGTTCATATTTCTAAAAATTTCTCATATGCTCTGATCTCACGAACAAAACAAAAAACTTCCTCTACTCCACACTCCATCCCTCCCCCGTCTCCCACCCTTCACCCAATTCTTAGACAAAAGAGCTCTACAATGGAAATTTGGTAGCGATCCTGTGTAAAATTTAAATTAGATGTGCTGCCTAAAATATTTTAAAATTATCTCAAAGTATCTTTATTTTTATTCAAATATAAATAATGTAGAATTAAACTAATATTACATTGCAATATATTCACTAACACAAAATTCAACGATGTACTCATTTTAAAAAATCTCTTCCTAACAAAAGATAGAAGATATTTTTGTTAGAATAAGTGCCCTTCACTAGAGGGGGGGTGAATACTGAGGCACGAGAATGTTTATAAATTTTCGCGGAATAAAAATCGCAGGGATAAAGTAAAGAGCGGAATAAAAAGGAGTAAAGGGAGCACACCAAGATTTACCCTGGTTCACCACAACTTGTGACTACTCCAGCCTCCCGAGAGACTCTCTCGAGCTACACTACTTCCGTTAAGCTTACGGGTGCTTAACAAACCGTTACAACCTGAGAACTCAAGTCCCACGAGCCTCAATACACTTGCTCGGAGATACCGCACTCCAAGACTTCAACTCGAAGGAAAATACCTTTCCTTCGTACAACCAAGGGAAACAAGCTTCCCTAAACATGTTTACAACACTAAGAACACTCAAGAACAAGACTCTCTTTAAGAGTGGATGTTGAGTAAACTATATGCGCTCAAGAACAACTCAACCTTCACACAAAATGGCTCTAGCAAGCTATGGAAAATGATGATATTTGAGTGCAATGAAAGTATGAATGTTGTGAAGTGAATTGGTGAGAAAAGCAGACCCAAACACCCCTTTTTATAGTGCCAAAATAGGCTCCAACGGACCAATGCATTAAAGGGGTGATTGGCTTGATTTAAGGGATTGAATAAATTTGGGATCTACAGGATATTGGCTTCCCATCGATGTTTGGAACTTACCCATCGCTGGTAAGCCAATTTTCCTTCAGTTTTGAAGCCAACGGTTACCTACCCATCGATGGGTAGATGCTTCCCATTGCTGGGTGGGAGGTTGACTTTCAAATAAGGAAAGAATCAGCCTTAAATGACTCCCAACGGTCATGCCTTCCCATCGATGGTTAAGCCTTCCCATCGCTGGGTTCCCATCGATGGGTAAAGCTTCCCATCGCTGGGTAAGGGCATTCTGCCTTGTGGTAATGTTGCACCAAGGCTTTAACAGCGATGGGTAGAACTTCCCATCGCTGTTTGGCATGGTTCTGGAANAAAGTAAAAACTAAGTATATAAAACACTTATTTAATGTATTTTGATGTCAAAACAAGCTTTGTAAGTTGAAAACCACGTCGTTAAGGTAAAAACCACGGTTGACCAAGTCAACACCGTACACGGGTGGTTTTCACCAAAAGACAAAACCGAAAGGTGGTTTTCATGATGTTTTGATTGGAGAACCATTTAAATTCATTCAAAAACAATTCCCACAAAAAAAGACTCGAAAACCACTTCATTTAAGTAAAAACCACGGCTAGCTAAGTTAATGCCGTTTCACATGGTTTTTATCAAACGACAAAAAACGAAAGGTGGTTTTTGAAGTGTTTTTGATGAAAAACTATTTAAATATGCCCAGAAGTAAAACCAGTCATAAAAAGTTGAAAACCATTTTGTTAGTTCGGACACCAAAAACCATCGCCGAAAACCGAATGCCGAATGCCGGTTTCTGAAACCCGAACGCCGGATGGCTTGGTTTTTGGTTTGGGCGAACACCAAGTGTTTTTAATGTTTTATACATCTTTGAAAAACATTTTTATGATGTGTGAAATGCATTGAAAAGAATTTTAGCCTAAAGAGCCAAGGTGTATAGATTGGGTCGGTCTTGATCACAATAAAGACCGACTCAACGATGCTAAGACTAAGGTCTTCGTTCTTGGTCTTCGTTTGGCTCTTGTTCTCTTTCTTATCATCTTTGGTTCTCGCCTTGTATATTCAATGACTTGTCTCATTCACGGCGGTTTGGCATTATCAAAACCTGTCATAACAACAAACGCGGCTTTAGTACGAAAACGTGATAAACCCGTGTTTCAACAATTTTTCGGGGAAAAATGTATTCCTGTCAAATAGTAAAACATGTGGGGTGAGGGGGAGATTAATTTTTCGTGTAATGCCATGTTCTCTTCACCTGATCTGAATGGTTCTGATATGATTGAAATAAGTTTGGATCTGATGTGATCTGATTTGGTTTAGTCTGATCTCACTTTAATGTAGTTATATTTAGAATTATTTCTGATTTGATCTAATCTGATCTGTTTCCAATAAGAAAAAAGTTATAAGTAATAATAAGTTGGAGAGAACATAGCCTTAAGAAAATCATTTTTCTAGAAAAACTTATCTCTCCCCAACCAAATGCACCCTTAATTTCCAATATTTTCCCAACCATTCCGATTTCTTTATAACTTTTTCTTGTTTTTTCAATTTCTCCAAAATTTCCAACTCCTTCAAGTATTTTTCGATTCATCTATACATTATTTAAAAAGACATGAAAGTTTTCCTGCCCATGCATGGCACTCATATATGAAAAGTGTTGACAACATAAATGGTAGTTTAATTATTTTACCTTAATGTTTTCCTTCCATTTTAAGTATGTTTTTATTTTTATTTAAATGTTACACTATTTAAGCATTTAAATAAAATTAAATTAGTAGTAGTGAACCATTGGGGAATTGAAGTATGGAAATAAAATACACTGGCATTTAAATATTAAAATAAAATTTAAAAATTACAAATTAATATAGTATGGGCAGGATTAAAATGATTTATTTCGAACAAACTACAAATTAATTATTTATCATTAAAAATATTATAATTTACAAGCACAAACGCGTAAAAATGGTAAATTTTCTAAAATAGATTAAAAAATAAATATGGTACGGTAAGTAGATGATAACATTTAAAAAAAAGAATAAAATAAAAAACTACAAATTGATATTAATATTATAATTTAAAAGAATGGAAACGTTTTAAAAATGACAAATGTTCTTATTAGAAAATTAGAAAATAAATAGATATGGTATGGTAAGCAATTAGCACCATTTAAAAATGAAAATAAAATAAATGGTAAGTTTTCTAAAATAAATTAGGTCAGTGTTCTAATATAAAAGAGAAAATAAAATACTCCCTCAGTCCCCAATTTCATTACAAATTTCGGGTTACGGAGTAAAATTTCTTATTTTTTTAAATCATTTTATTTACAAATTGATATATCAATAAGATATAAAAATTACATATTAAACAACTACGTCAAAAGTTCTACAAAACAAGAAGTGATAAGAATATTTTATTTTATCAAATACTTAATGAAATTGCGTAAACAAACAAAAGTTATCGAGAGGAGAGAAAAAATTGTAATCTATTTAGGGACAAAGAGAGTACATCTAAAAATGATAAGTGTTCTAAAATAAATTAGAAAACAATGTGGTTTGGTAAGTAATTAGTACGATTTAAATAGGAAAATAAATTAAAAAACTGCAAAATTAATATTAATACTATACTTTAAAAACATGATTTTTTTAAAGGTAAGTGTTCAAATTAGAAAATTAGAAAATAAATACGGAATGGTATGTCACCACGATAAGAAAATGGTACCATTTAAACACAAAATAAAATAAATGGTAAGTGTTCTAAAATAATTTAGGTAAGTGTTCTAAATAAATTAGAAAATAAAATAATTATTAAAACGATAAGTATTCTAAAATATATTAGAAAATAAGTATGGTACGGTAAGTAAATGATACCATTTAATAAAAAAAAATAAAATAGAAAACTACAAAATAATACTATCAATTAATACTACAATTTACAAGCAAGGTAACGTGTAAAAATGGTAAGTGTTATAAAATGAATTAAAAAATAAATATGGTACATTAAGCAAATGGTACCATTTAAATGAAAAAATTAAAAAATTATAAATTAATGCTATTAATATTATAAGCATGGAAACATGTAACAATGGTATAAGTATTCTAAAATAAATACTATTAATACTATAATTTACAAGCATGGATACATGTAAAAATGGTAAGTGATCTAAAATAAAATAGAAAATAAATACCATAGGGTAAGTTAATGGTACCACTTAAATACGAAAATAAAATTAAAAATACAAATTCCAAAATAAATACATTAATATGTTTCCTACTCGGAATTAGAGTCTGGGGAGGGTGTGTGTACGCAGACCTTGCTCCTACTCGGAATTAGGGAGGCTGTTTCCAAGATTAAAAATGGGAAAAAGTCAAGCTGAGAAGAAAGTTTTAAAATAGAGGGAGTAGATCATAGATAGATGTGCCATTCTAAAACTATTTTTCTTGGTGCTATTTGCACGGTCAAACTTAATTTATTTTTTTGATTATTTTAATTAGTTATTTGATAAAAAATATAATTATATTACCTATAATTTAGTAGCATCATATTTTTTAAGTTTTACCCTTATAATCAAATAAGTTTAGTTTAAAATAAATTCGATCAAATAAGTTTAATTTAAAATATTCCATTACCTATAATTTTATAGCATTAGTTTTGTCGAATGTCAATCACACACCCATGATTATTTACTAATATTTGTATTAAAGAGCGTAATTAATATAATATAATGTCGATAAGGGGATATGTTATTCTCAACACGACATTTGTCACTATTTATACAAAAAAACTGAAAAGGAAACAATTGTTTTTTAAATAAATATCATCCCATTTAACTGTGTAGTTAGGTTCGCGGAAATTTAGTTTACAAAATTAGAGGACATGTTACTTTGGGCCTGTTTGGGAATAGCGTTAGAGATTAGCGTTAGCGTTTTGGATAAAATTTTAACGGTGCAGATCGCTTTGAAAACGCTAACGCTAAACGCTGCCCGTAGATAGCTTTTTCAAAACGCTAACGCTAATTGCTAACGCTGTTCCCAAACAGGCACTTTGTAGGTATTACTAATTCATTCCTTTTAGTTTACAATATTTTGAAAATTTATTATATAATAATAATAATAATATTTTTATTATTATAAAATTGTTTGCTTAGGTTAGCAATTATTATTATTGTTAACTTTTTTTTATATAGAAACCAAGAATGGCACTGCAACACTTACCATTGATTAAATTAAAATGGAAACATATTAATTAGTAATTAATAGAAATTAAACCAAAAATAATGGCAAGTAATACTTACCATGTAAGGAGTCACACGAAACATATCATTCAATAGTATCCATATATGCTTCACATGTATAGAGGCAAAATAATTAAAGTACTAAACAGTTTCCATATATTAGCATCACGTATGGGCGGGAAAAAATTCCCCTCGCTTTAAGTATAGTATAGATTTTTAATAAGAAACATTATTCATTTCTCACTCTTAATATAATGTAAGAAAACATTATTTTTAATTAGGTGACTTTCATGTAAATATTTTAAATATTATTTTTAGTTCTGTATAATAAACAAAAAATCCAATTATTTGAAAAATATCAATAATTATAATTTCATATTAAATATCATTGAACTTTCTATTTTAGTATATTATTTATGTTATTTTTAACTTTCCTATCGTATAAAAAATATATCACTACAAAATAAAATTTAAAATAAATTAGGTCACATATGTCAAAGTTTGAGAGTTTTTTAATGTAAAAACATTGTCAATAATCACCAAATAACTCCTTATATGACTATAAACATAAATATACAAATATTTTGTCTTTATGTTAATTATTTTAACCTAAAATATTCTATTCAAAATTACATTTTTTCATTAAGCATTTTAAAATATAAATACTCTGTATATACATATCAAAGTTATATTTTGATTTTCTATTATATTTCTACTATTATATTCTTCTCTATGAAAAATTATGTTCCGATAAAATTAAGAAACTAAACCATATAGTATTCCTTATTATTATTTTCCATATAAAATATTGAGACACACAATGTAGTACTGTTATTTATTAAACATTTTATCTTTAATTAGGTGATATGGAATCTTTATTTTATTTTAGAAAACTATATATGGTTAAAATTTATCCATAATGAGGAAACCATTTAATGTGTATCTTTTCATTAACCATTTGATAAAACATCTAAATCTCTAATTAGATCTTTTGATATATTTGCATGTAATAAATAATTGATGTGATTATACTATTTTATTAGAAAATACTCCCTCCGTCCACCATAGATCTTCTCAATAGCCCTTTTTCTTTGTCCACAATAAATCTTCTCATTTCATTTTTTAACAATTAAAATACCATAAATTTTAAGATTTATAAAATTTGAGTCCAGAATGAAAATTAAACAAATTTTTACGTATAAAATTTGTCATCTCAAAGGTTTGACACATGTTAGCTTCTAAGAGATTTGGCTCTCAAATTTATATATAAAGGAAAAAGGATTCGGACATGCATTGTGGGGAGAAAGCAATGATGATTTTAAATTGGGACATGTGAGGAAATAAAGTATATTAGTTGAAGTGAAAATACATCTCCCAACACATGCCGTCAAAACACATGTCGTAACACATGCTTTAAATGCGTTCACGGGTACCAAAGACCCATTAGCCCAACCAAAAACTGTTTTGGCCAATCGAACCAATTTTCTTCTCTGCCCAATCCGATACCCGAACTTAATGTCCAAACTGTGCCCAAGAACCTTAGGCGGGAAGTTAGCATTGTTCATGTTTTCACTTTAGCTTTGTATATTAGAAGATTTTAAAAGTACATTTGTTCTTTCTTATTGTAAAGAACCAATTCAACCAAAATATCATGTAAATAGTCAATTCAATCAAAAGCTCTAGCTTGTTATTGTTGCCAAAAAGAAGTTTTTTATATTCTAACACGAATAAAAAGAAAAGAGTACATTTGTCGAGGAAAATGTTTTTTTCAACAAATTTTTATTTTTAACTTTCTATTATTTGGTGGCCAAATGTTGGATTGCTTTGCTTCAATTTGAAGGAAATGAATTTTCCAACATATTACAGGATCAAATAACTCGATTCACCTCCTCTTAGGCGACTATCCGGCCGATTCTTACAGAGGATAGGACATATGAAAATGGGCAAAACTAGGACATATGAAAATCGGCAAAGATGGGACATATGGAAATGGGCAAATTCTTTGTTATGCGTTTCACATGTAGACATTAAGATTATGAAATTCATGAAAATGGGTCAATCAGGCGGGTGCCCACGACCTACCCCTACACGTTACACACAAGCACGTTACAAAAAATTGACATTTTTAAAGGGTCATGTCAGGATCACATCAAATGATTATCTTATTTGTACACCATTCATCCTCACTATTTAAGTTTTATTCATTTTCCATTTTTTTTAAAACTTGAGATTGTGGTGTACTTTTAAGAATATACTTATACTTAATGGCGCACTCCTAGAATTTTGTTTTTTAAAATCAAGTAAATTACATAATTGGTCCTTTATAACACGGGAGTTTCTAATTTAGTCCTCTATTATCAAATATTACCCTCGTAGTCCTTTTTTAAGGGTACCTTTCTACAAATGGTCCTTTTTCGATCTTCCGCCATATGAGTGTTAATTTAAAGGCTAAAAGTATAATTTGACATCAACATTATGTCTAGTGACTATGATTGTGGGCTAGGATTCCGACGGAAGACCATATTTGTAGACTATGGTTGTAGTAGAAAGTGAATGTAATTCACAAATGACGCATACGAAACAACCTTTAGAATTGTGTTTGACAAAAAAGATATACTCCTTCCATCCCTAAATAGATTATTTTTTTTTTCTCTCCTCTCGATAACTTTGTTTGTTTACGCAATTTCATTAAGTATGGTTGTAGTAGAAAGTGAATGTAATTCACAAATGACGCATACGGAACAACCTTTAGAATTGTGTTTGACAAAAAAGATATACTCCTTCCATCCTTAAATAGATTAATTTTTTTTTTCTCTCCTCTCGATAACTTTGTTTGTTTACGCAATTTCATTAAGTATGTGATAAAATATATTCTTGTCACCTCTTGTTTTGTAGAACTTTTGACGTAGTTTTTTAATATGTAATTTTTATATCTTATTGATATACCAATTTGTAAATAAAATAATTTCAAAAAGTAGGAAATTTTACTCTGTAACCCGCAATTTGTAATCAAATTGGGGACGAAGGGAGTATTATCATTGAAAAATTACACTTTTAGCCCTCAAATTAACACCAACATGATAGAATATCAAAAAAAGGAATATATATGGAAAGATACCCATAAAAGAAGGACAACTGAAGTAATATTTAATACAATAGAAGACTAATTATGGTTTTGATTTTATGTTTCACCAGGAAGACTAATAATTGAGAGAGATATGATTATTTCAGTTTTGGATTTAGACTTTAGAGCTTTAATTGAGGAAAGAGTACGAGAGGGGGGAAGCTTAATTGAGGAGAGAGAAGTATGAATATACAATTTTATCAACGTTCTTAACAAAAATGTTAACAAAGTACCATTTATGAAAAATGACATAATAATTGAGGACTAAATTAATAATGATTATTTCAGTCTTTGATTTAGACTTTAGCCCTAAAACGACCTGTAGACTTAGGAATTTACTCGAAAAGAAAACAATACAAAACGCCAAAACCCCTAGCAGTGAGGCGGGTAAACCGTGAAACCTCGTGTGTTGCCATTCGCAAAAGCTAAAGTTCCATCATCAAGGGTGAAGCTATGGGGGAGAAGAGGAAGAGTCTCTGGCGCAGAGCACCTAAACAGCCTGGGCCTAAACGCTTTTGTTGTGAGTTTTGTTTTGTTTTCTTAAACTGTTCTCGAGGGATTATACCACACATCAATTTAAAGTGTTTTCTTGTTCTTCAACTTATTAGCATCTGATTTACTCGTTTGGGTATTCAAATACAATACAGCTCCGTCTCCCGAGATGCTGCAGAAGATGGAACTGCATTTGAAGTACCCTAAATTTTCACAGAAGAAGATGAACAAGTACCTGGATACTGATACCAAGAGAGCTGCTCTGGCAGCATCTCTTTCTGTGGTTGCTCTTATGTCCTACACTGGTATGTTATTAACCCTTCAATTCTTATCTTTTAGTTGGCAACCACTTTTTAGAATGTCAGTTTCACCCCCGTAGACTATGGAAGCAGCGATGTTGGCGTATCTGATATTGCCAGTTTCACCCTCGTAGACTATGAAAGCGCGAGGCTGTTTTAGCATTTTAAGAAGATTGTTCGGCTTAAAATGTATTTTTTTCAATCGGTTATTTTTTTAAGTTCACACATCTACTATGGAAAGAACAATTGATATAGATTTAAAAGGTAGTGCTTGACTAAAACATGTCTCAAAATTTCGTTTTTGTAATTGGCTGAAAGTGTGTTGAAGGCTCAGTGCTTTCTATACAAAAATAGAGATAAGTATCCATATAGTCATTCATGAATCATCAATCACCATTAATATTGACAACGAATCTCGCAGGTGAGAAGGAGTTGAAAAAATGTTCTGGTACTATTATTGAAGCTGATAATGATGTTGGGATTGTTTTGACTTCGGCCAACCTCATTCGGCGTCCTACGGATGAAGAATTTGTACAAAATGCATTGGCTGATGATCTCAAGGTTAGATTCTATAGAGCAAGTTATTTACTATTGGATTGAATTCTCTAACTAATCCTTTATAGCATGGGGGTTTTCTAATATAGTCTTCAATTCCAAATTATTCTCTTCGTTGTTCTTTATATTTGACAACTACTCCATAATGTCCTTTGGAATCTACATGTGGAACAAAATATTCACTTTGTCGTCCTCTATATTTGGAAACTTTTCCTCAAAAGTACTGATTATGGACTAGTTTGCAAATATGGAAGACCACAAAGAGAATTGTTTGGAATTTGGAATAGAGGACTGTATTGGGAACGCCTTGCTGTTATTAAGGGCAGTTTAGAAGATTCACTCTTATTGTTATGTATTGTTGACTT